AACGCCGAAACCGAAATGCACACTGACGCCAGTGATATCGGTTTGGGTGCCGTCCTCGTCCAAAAGCAAAGCGGTTACGAAAAGGTAATCGCCTATGCAAGCCGTCGTCTGTCGAAGGAGGGGAGAAACTACTCTGCCTTTGAGAAAGAGTGCCTGGCTATCATACGGGCCATTTCAAAATTTCGCCCATACGTCTATGGTAGACCGTTTAAGGTTGTGACAGACCATCATGCGCTGTGTTGGCTCGCCAATTTGAAGGACCCCTCTGGCCGTCTTGGGCGGTGGAGCTTGCGCCTGCAAGAGTTTGACGTTACAATATTCTACAAATCCGGCAGGAAACACTCCGACGCCGACTGCCTGTCCCGCCCCCGTCGACCCACCACCACAGGACTCCGATGAAGACAGCGCGTTCTTCGGAGTCGTGACAGAGAGCGACCTAGCCGCCCAGCAGCGTGCCGACCCTGATCTCCGCGCCATGATCGACTACCTCGAAGGACGCAACGTCGCCGTGCCTAGGGCGTTCAAGCGCAACTTACCAGCATTCAACCTCAAAAACTCCATGCTAGTGAAGAAGGATTTCAACCCCGGAACGAATTATCTACTTGTCATCCCCGCAGACCTTCGTGACGAAATTTTGGAAGCGTGCCACGAAGACCCGTCTTCCGGACATCTCGGAACAGCTCGCACGAGTACAAAAATCAAGGTGAAATACTTCTGGCCCCGCCTTACATCCGATGTCACCCACTACGTCCGGAGCTGCCGTGACTGCCAGCGACGAAAAACACCACCGACGAGACCAGCCGGACTTTTGCAGCCGATCGCCGTTCCAACGAGGCCCTTCCAACAGATCGCAATGGACCTTCTGGGCCCGTTCTCTACATCCCGATCCGCGAACAAATGGATTGTCGTAGCGACAGACTACATGACGCGCTACGCAGAGACCACTGCTCTTCCTAGGGAAACTGCACAAGAAGTAGCAAAGTTCTTTATTAACCAAATTGTGCTGCGACATGGAGCCCCTGAGGTCCTAATCACGGACCGCGGAACGACCTTCACTGCAGAGCTCATGCAAGGAATCTCACGCTACAGCAACACAGATTACCGAAGAACGACGGCGTACCACCCCCAAACGAATGGACTAACGGAACGGCTCAATAAGACATCGCGGATATGCTGTCTATGTACGTCGACGTTGAACATAAGACGTGGGACGAAGTCCTCCCGTACGTCACGTTTGCGTACAACACGGCTATTCAAGAAACCACGCAGATGACACCGTTCGAGCTCGTCTACGGATGACGGCCGACTACGATGCTCGACGACATGCTTCCGCACGTAGAAAACGACGACCTCAACGCCAACGTCCAAGGATACCTCCAACGTGCGGAGGAGGCCCGCCAGCTCGCTCGAGCTCGTATAACGGATCAGCAACTGGTGGATGCCGGACGCTACAATCTCCGACGCCGAGACGCCGAGTAGCATCCTGGAGATCGTGTGTGGGTTTGGACTCCCGTTCGACGACGTGGACTCAGTGAGAAACTTCTACGACGCTATTTCGGACCCTACCAGATTCTACGACGTGTTGGCGAACTAACGTACGAAGTGATCCCCGATGGGGACTCCCGTACATCACGACGACGCACGCGGCCCGAAGTCGTCCATGTGGTTCGCTTAAAACCTTTCTACGGACGATGACGAACTTTTAATTTGTGTGGACTGTCCCTTATGTTAGCATCGGGTCGATGCACTTTTAGAGGGTGGGGTAATGCCGCGAACCATGCATTGGGTTTGTTTATTTGTGTTTTGTTTTTTCGGCCTGGCTGCGCCGGCCTGTGCTATCGCCGTTTTTACAGCGTTTCGAACAAACGCTGCCACAGCGTTTCGAACAACCTCAGGCGTTGTTCGAACGAACAACGCTGTTTGAACGAGAAACGCTGTTCAAACGAACAGCGTTTCTAACAAACGCTATCACGGCGTTCCCGATACAATTAGACCATTCGAGAAACCCTCGCGCCGAGGGATATAAATTCCCGCACAGCCAATGCCGCGTCATTCGATCACCGACGCTCACTAGCATGCCCGTCGTTTTGCTGGCCGCTGCTTCGCCGCCTGTGTATTTTTTTCAGTTGTTAGGGGAGCACAGGTTCGCTCATAGACAACTGCGTCGTCCTTTGCTGCGTGACAATATCGTATTTTTAAATTGCATACCGCGCACTACGCGGTTTTCTTGGTGTGAGTAGACTATCTCATGCCAGCAACAGTGAAGTTCACTCGCCGAAGTCGTCGCGTGAATGAGGTTTGCCTGGCAAGGTTCCTTTTTGCTCTAGCGACTGATCGGGCGACGACGATCTACGTCGCTGTCGCGTGCATTTTCGTGCTTATGAGGTTTCGCCCTTGCTGTACTTGGTCGAACGCGCCTTGCAAGCGAGCCGAAGCGGCATCTAACCCCATGGTGAAAAAAAAAGGGGGGGGGGGGGGAGGAGGTGTAGCAGTTACAAAATTTCTTGGCCTTCACTACGGTAGTTATAGCGCGGGAACAGAACGACGAGAAAGGGACAAGAAGACGAGTGCTTGTCCCTTTGTCGTCATTCTGTTCTCGTGCTATAACTACCGTCATGTCATACCAACTGGCCCAAATCGCCACACTTCTTGGCCTTCGTTCTAACCCATGCAGAGAATGCTGCTTAACCCACCTTCGCCGCAATACACTGGCGCCGTGCGGAAAAGTGTACTAAAACTTGGAAGGGGCTGTTAGCGCTAGTTACAGGACACTGCACGTTTCGTTCAGTTACTCAGACGCCACATAATTTTAAGTACCATATAAGCGCTGACGTCTAAGTAAGTCACTGGCAATCATTTGGAGCTGTGTATGACATTTCTTCTTCCCTAAAGAAAAAAAAAAAACTAAACTGTTGGCCAGTTTTTTTTGTGTTTTTTTTTTTGCCACCCCCTGCTTCTAAGTTTGACAAATCACCCGAATGTCAAAGTCGCGAGCTTGGCAGATCAATATTTAACTTCACAGAGTTTGTCAAATGATTTGACAGGTGAAGCAAATGCTAATATAGACTTTACAATTGTTTATTGAGTGGGTTGGTTCAAAACATTACTTTTATTCAAATGGCAGTGCTCACCTTCACACTGCATGATTTAGGTGATGTTGAATGCTTTATAATTTTTTTCTTAATGTAAGATTTCTTATACTGCTCTAAATTTGTTATTTCATGACAATCAATGCATTTTTTTCTTGTAACGTACCTGCTCAAAATTTGGATTTTCGTGCCCCAAAAGTAACATTTTCCTGCTCCGAAATTTGCTCTAATTTGTGTTTTAGCTGTTTCACCCCTGTTGTTGTTGTTGTTATTATTATTGTTGTTGTTATTATTATTATTATTATTATTATTATTATTATTATTATTATTATTATACTACTACTACTACTACTACTACATGCGGAAGCAATTGGTAGATATGGCAGATGTGATATGTAACAATAGACCCCTTTCCTAATTCAATGCACTTTTGAAGAGGGTCCCGCTTAGGTGGTCGCAAACGATGTGCACTGCACTTTTGTCTGTTAAACCTCATGACGCTATCACGTCATGCTTTTCTTTAACTGTTACGTAGCTAAGATTCTTGTGCAATCACAGTTTTTTAATTATTTTTAGTGTGATGTGTTTTTCTTTTTAAATGTTTTTTGGTAATCTAGTTTTCAACAAAACCTTTCTTTTGAAATATTATTTCAATTGTTTGTTACAAGAGTTGTAGATAGCTCACATGGTATGTAAAAAGGTAGTGCAGTTTATACTTAGCGATATTCTGTTTAAAAACTTTCTTCAAAATCTGCTTTAGTGTTATGTGTATTATAAGCCAATTAAAATATGCACTGGTGCCCCAGGTTGCTAAAAATTTGTATTTTCAAGCTCCAGGACGACATATTAAATGTCGCTAACTGCTCAGAAGCAAGGTTTTTCTGCTCCGAAATGGAAATTTTCTGCTCCAAGAACTGCTCCTAATTTATTCTCAGCCATCTCACCCCTGCATTGTCTATCGGTGAAACCACTGGACATCCATCGTAGGCAACTTGCAAGTCAGCATTGGGGGTGCGGCTTTGACGTCGGTCCCGTCACCAACTGTGTGGTTTGTCGCGTCATGCTGTCTCGAGTACATCGGGCGGAAGTGCATTGAGTGGTGGCATCTGTATAGTGATGCCGAACCATAGCGTTTGTGGTGCGATTACATGGGTTCTTAGCGTTGCAGCATGTGGTCGAGTCAACGTAACTTCTGGTTGTGCCACGTGATCGCGTTTTGTCATCGCGTCAGGCTGCATTGTTGTTGGAGGGTTTTTCTATATTTGTTTTGGAGTGGTGTCACCTCCTGATGTCACTGGCTTTAGTTTTCTCTGTTAGGACTGGGTGATCTCACTCTTGTGTGCTCTTGGTGCGGTGACGACATTTGGTGTGAATAGGGCGACGAAGGCTTGAAGGATTAAGGGACGGTATGTTCAGTTTCTTGCAGGTAGGCCTCAATTTCTTGAGGCCACTGGCCTGGAAGTGGTGGTGGAGCGTTGATATTGCATCAGTGAAGGCCCATCTGGTAATAAGGGCAGTGTCGCAGGAGGTGATTAGCTTCCCTGCAGTGAAAACAAAGTGGTTGTTGATCAGGGATTTTCCAGACTTCTCTTCAAAGGTGTGGTTTGCCAGAATTCAGCTGATTCTGTAGGCTGTGGTGGGCATAAGTTTGAAGGCTGTGGTGGGCATAAGGTATGATAAGTTTTCCCTATCAACGTTTATATTACTGTAGGCACACTGGTGTATTTTATACCCACTTTTCTCTCATAGTATTAGTGTCTCTTATAAGAGGTTCAATTTTATAAAGAGGTTCAATTGTGCTCCAGACACAAGTGGTTTAATCAGTTCATCACTCATAATACATGTCTTGTATGTGATGTTTCTTACTTGTGTTCAACATCCCAACATGTTTTCCTGACCTCTTTTGTGCAGATATTGCAAAACCTTGGGCGAGCAGACAGGACTAAGGATGAAGTTTTTGAAGTGTACTTGTACAACTTCACAAGGCAGCAGGTGAGAACAGTCGTGAAACAGCAGTTACAATTTTTTGTTACTTCGAGTCTTTATTTCTTTAAACATAGCTCTTGTTCAAGGGCGTTTCGCTTGTCTTTCTGCAATTTCTTAATTTTTTGGCGAGACTTAGCACATTAAAAACTGGCCATAGGGACATGTGACATTGGAGACTGCAATCATAACCAGCAAAAATTGTGACTCTTAGAACGCTCACCTGGCTCATGGTTGGCTCTCCCTTGGCTTATTTCACATCAGCATGGAATCGGGCAAAACCAGAGTTCACTCGTAGTACAGCTCACCCAACTCGTGACGCTCGCGCTTAGTCAACTAGGGTATTGCCGGATTTCAAGGAGACGTGGAATAAAGAATACGCCACAGATGTTTCATTCGTTAAACATTATGCGTTATAGCAAGACAGGTGCCGTCCTGTGGCCAGTTTTCGACACGCTAAGTATCGCTCTGAATCCATACCAGTTCACGCAGTACATCACTTTGTTTCAATTCTTGAGTTCAGATCGAGATGACATTTACCTTGGTGCAGCGCATGGTCGTAAAGTGTCATATGGTGGAAAGCTTGTGTATCAGCACATCTGCATTTTTTCAAGGTACTACCACAACACAGCATTTGTTTAATGTCAGGCCTGTGTTTACTGTATTTTGCTGTTTCTGCTTTTTATTTTACATTTATGATAGCATACTGTAGGGTAAACACAGTGCAGGAACAACACAGTTAAGATACAACCAATATTAAAACCAACAGTTAATGAGCCTAGGAAGTGTTGGGGACATACTGTTTAATTGTATTGTATGATACAGATGGAAAAGAGGTAATATCAGGGACCCAACCTTCAACCTTTGAATAACGTGCCCAGTGCTCCACCAGTTAATCTGTGGTGGTGGTCATCTTAACCGAAGCATCTGCCTACAGTCTGGTCACCGTATATAAACAAATAGAGGCTCCCCATATGTGAACTCTCGCATTTACATTGTGGGCAATAACAGAGACAAGACAAAAATGCTCCCTGGAGAGCATGAAGCCCTGGCCAGTATATGGTCGTGTGAGAAGTGGCCTATTTATTTCTGGGGCTAGTCCTTCACTTTACCAACCAATTACCATGCACTGGTTGCCCTGCTGTCATCCTGGAGCTCACAACAGTGGCCCCTTTGTATCACAAGATAGACCGTGCAACTCCTTCACTACTATCTCACATTCGTGTTTGAAATAAGAGCGAAAAAACCCAAACGCATGGGCACGAAGGATGCCTCGCCACTAGCAACTGAGGTTCTAATCAAAAACATAGAAATATATAAACACTCATTATAAAAAACAAGATTAAGAAACAGGCACCGCAAACTGAGTATGCATGTAAAAGAAAAACTCCAGGCCTATTTTTGCCACCACAGTGAGTTGCATGAAGATGTTCTACTTCATGGCTTGACAACGCTACCGACGGACAGATTCTGCAAGAAACACCCCCTTTAGCAATATAGGTGGCCTCAACATTTTTCTCGATTCCCTGTTCTCGTGTTCAAAGCAAAATAGATGTTTCTTTAAACAAAGGCTGGCGCCTTCAGTCTTGGCAATGAACAGATTGGTGCGAAAGCTTGTCAGTCCTCAAAGAATATCTGTGTTGACGCAGACGTATATTGACACACTACAGAAGTGTGACAAAGGCTTTCAGGCACCACTCCAGCCTGTCCCCCACCCTGACGGGGCCTGGGGCAAAATGTCAGTAGACATTATAGGGCCCTTTGAATGAGCACCAGCGGACTGTCGGTTTTTCATTGTCTTATTGGAGGATTACTTATCCATGTGGTTGAAAATTGTGTTCTGCAGTGACACCGTGCCTTGATCAGCTACCTGCTTGGTGTCTTTGCACGAGAGGGCTGTGCTGGTCTCTGATCGACAAAGATATCAAGAACTTTTAAGGGCGAAGCTTCTTAAGCCATGGGTCGTGCGTCCCCGATGTATGTAGTAGTAGTCGTATTAGGTAGCCACTTCTCGTTTAGCTTTTGGAATGTTTGCTGGATGGTGGTGCCTGTATAATGAATAGAGGCCGGATTTTAGGCACTAAAAAGTGTGTTTTAGGTGCCAAAGACAGGCAGTTAAAATACCATTTGAGGCATTCAAAATTATATATAGGCTCAATCAAGTTCAACAAAAATTGAAATAATCTAAAACAATGACGTCGGTGACTTGTATTTATGACTAGCAGCAAAGAGGTGGTATTGTTCGAGCTAGCACGAAGGCACCAACGGTTGAACATAGGCATGCATTTGCCACGCGATTCGCAGATTACATACTTTTGTTTATTGTCCAGCACTGTGAGCCGTGTCGACCGTCCTATCGCAACTCTTCTGGGTCTCTTTCGTTGCGTCGTGGCTGGGAAGGGCAGCACAAGAGCAAATAACCAGACCACTGACCTCCCAAACGGGAAGGATGCCAGGTTTGATCGCGTAATTTCTCTCCTGTCAGTGAACACCTTAGAGGGTCCCTCTCTAGGGTTGGGTGTTTCGAGCAGACAAGCATAATGGGTTCCTTGCTGTACATCACTCCCTGCATCTTGGGGCGTGCCCCAAGATGCAGGGAGTGATGCACAGCAGAAATGACGCACAGCAAGAAATGGTCCGGCTTTTACGTCGCTCCTTTAGGCTGTGACATCATTCACCATACAATCTTTATCAGATCTTGGTTAAATGCTGCCTATATCGAAAAAAAGAGACGTAGAATGATCTATCTTTTGAATATATCCTGCATGTTAAACGGTACAGTGTTGCACGTGAATTACTTTAGCTGGCGAGTTTAATTTGTGTTCTGTCGTTTAGCATGAATGAGGAGTACTTTGGTTTGGGCTAGCTCTGTTGTTTAGCATGAATGAGGAGTACTTTGGTTTGGGCTAGCTGCTTTATATCATTTTGAAAGAGAAACGCAAGGACAAAGGAAAAAGGAAGACGGCGTTCGTTGTCTTTATGTCTTTCTTTTCCCTGAATCCTTGCGCTGCCCTGCCCTTTCAAAATAAGTATAATGAATGAAAGCTGAAAAAAAGATAATAAAATGTGCAAATGGAATGTCAGCCTGTTATTATTTGATTTTTGTTTTCAATGGCCACGAGATGAGTATGGTAATTGGCCCTCGTTTCGCATCCACCTTGGTGGACCAGTGGCTATAGGGTGCTCCGCTGCTAATCCGAATGTCCCAGGGTCTGTTCCGACAGCGGCGGTCGCATCTAGATAAAGGTGAAAAAGCTAGATGCCTGCGTATGGCCTCACGTCAGTGCACCAGAGACAACTTCCGGAGATCTCCATTACGGCTTTCCTCATAATCATATCATGTTTTTTTTTTCATGTGAAATTGCACATACTACCACTAGTACTTCTACTATTATGTACTAATACTGCTACTACCCCATATCTTTGCATTCGTATTCTCGTAGTTCCTGCATCGTGCCTTCGCCTACCCTGACAGCACTTAGCTTGTGTTTGGTGTGTCATCTCTGACCGCAGTTTCAGCGGAGCGACATCGTGTGTTGCGGTTACAATATATGATCTATCCCAGCCTCTCCAAAATTATGCCCACTGACTGATCCATCGATGGCGTACGATGGCGTATGTGCACGAGTAAACTGGTGCAGGTCATGTGCGTGTGACCTTGCTTGCACATGATGTTCTTGGTGCGTTTGCATCATGTGATCCTCCAGCCCAGACACCGAAGAGAGCATCGAAGGATTTAGGCTCGCCGTGGCTACATGAGGCGAGAGCCAAGCGATTCAAGCTTGCCTCTTCGCATCATGGTTTTTGCTGGTAGCGAATCAATTTGAAAAATCACTGTGGTAGAACGTTTCTTATTGGGCACGAAAGAAGTTATAGTGTCTAACTACAACTTCTTATGTCACCTAGAGAGGGGTGCTTTAAAGGAGTTAATAACAAACGAAACAAAAGCTCCGTGCACATCACATTTTTTTCCTGAAGGCACTGCAGCATATAGGTTACAATGTCAAAGAAAACATGTTTTCATTGATACAGCACACTTGTTTGCTTTATATGCCACTTCATTGAGTCATGAAACTAACAAAGAACGAATTAGTAAAAAAATTAGACCTGACACGACATTCTAAAATTTGCAGTCATTGCCCCAAAATGTATAGGGAAGTCCTAAATCTTGAGATTGGTGTTCATGAACACATCGTTTTCAATCCCTGGCAGAGAGAAATCGTGAAAACATGCATCATCAGAATTTTTTTTGACCAGAAAAAGTGAGTTTGTGCGCCACTGTGATATAGGTACAGAATGAAACTGAAACTGCGCAATCGCCGTAGAAGAGGACAAAAAAGAGCATGGACTGCGGCCAAAGGGCGCATGCCAGCGTTCGAGGTAGAGCAGCGATTGAGGCAGTTCTCGGCTGGACGTCTGATCCAGAGAACTCGTGAACCTTCTGGGCATGCTGTTCTGTTCCTGGAATCTAGCTGGGTGACTGGCCCAGGGACCAGGTGGTGCGCTGCAGGGACGGCTGCCGAATCAGCAGTTGCTCGGATCAGCAGCAGACGAATCATTGATTGCCCGGCCGCCGTTCCTCGAAACATCAATTGCCAGGCTGCCGTCAGGTCGGCCTAAGTGTGGCAAATCAGATTTATTGTGCCATGTTGATTATATCAACAAAAATTTTGCCAAGCTACGTCAAAACCAGATTTGGGAGTGCCTCTCACCAGCAATAGCAACACCAGCGTGTGAAAATGTGTACATTGTTCTCAGGGCCAGTAAAGTCACCATCACATACCTTGAAATATTTCGTTGAATAAACTGTGATCATGCGTGCGTCCTAACTAATCCACGGTGCTATGTTTGGTGCCGATGCAACTTCTGTTTTACAAGTCCGCTCAATGGCGGAACGAGCTCTTCTCAGGGACTCGGGATGTCTACTTCAATCAGTAGCGTGAAACTGTGGTGGACGTCATTCGTTTTAGGAACGCTGCTGATAGCTCGTTTGAAGAGTTGCACAGCACACATTTAAAGAAACTTTCACTAATAACTGCATGTGTTCTGCCAGAATGTCTATTTCTGGACCTCACGATCTTATTTGCTGCGCTTCGCATCCGCAGAACACATGTGAAGGATGAGAGCTCGTTGACATTTTTCCTCAAATATATTTATCTTCATCCAGAAGAACTTTTTCGTAATTCCTTCCATTAACACATGCACGTGTGTAATCGCTCTTGTGGTAAACGTCCCAAAAGACTTATACCCTCTGGAGCTCATTATTGCCAGAGTCTGAATTCAAATTTTTTGAGTTTTTTTAAACATCATCTCATTAATAAAAAAAGCTTTCTTCTGGTCAAAGCAGCTGCAATTCGGTTTTAATACGCGCAGCTTTCAGTAGTGAGGTCATCGCTGATGGCTCTAGTGTCAGAAGGCACACTGTGAAGCGGCTACGCCATGTTACACCTCCGCCTCTCACTTTCCCAGGTCAATATCTGAAAGTTGAAAAATAAACATCACAGCATAGCATTCATTGCTTCATTCTGCGGAGGGGGTGGGGGGTAAGGCTGCATTGCTTGAAGGGCACAGTCATTCGCGTGCGCTTTCTGCCAAAGTGCACATGTTGAAGGCTGTACAGCAGGCAAAGCAGCCTCTCTGCTTTTCGCCCAGCCTCACTTACCTTATTGATGAAAAAATTATGCCATATCCATGGAATGAATGACGATAAGTGGGCGCAGCTTGAGAGGGGGAGATCATCAGTAAACCGTATCTCTCCCATGAAAGTTGGCCCATTGCATCATTAGAAAGACGTAAGACTGTGCGTATATTATACAAGTCAACTTTTATTTTCTTCTTGTTTGCAAAGGTGCTTTATGATCGGCATAGGTGGATCGGTGATGGGGTGTAGTGGAATCTTTGCAAGGATGAAATAGCGGGCAGTTTGCAAAGGGAACGGCAGACCCTCAACTTTTGGAGCTTTGCCCTTAAAATAAAGGATCTATGATTATCCTTAGTATTATTGCTTTACTTTAAGTCATTTGGAAAAATGTCTGATGGCAGACCAAGAGTACATACCAAAGAGCCAGTTTAATAAGGTACAGCGCATATGGACCCTGAGGGAAACTTCCCGATGTGTGACCAAGACTGCAGGCACCAATTATGTGCAGGCTTTTTGAAATAGTGTGTAACATGTGGGATGATGTGCTTCAAGTAAGGTGTTCTGGAATGGGGGAGTGTGTCCCCTGGCACCAAAAACATGGCTGTCTTTGCTATGACAATCAGTGGTGCAAGATTACACTGTACCACTGTGGCACCACCTGTCAAGGAAGTAACTGTATGTAGGCTGATATACAAAGCCTTTGAGATCAGAAGTTGCTGAACTGGTCATGAGTGTATGTGGGAACTTGTCCCCATCTGTTGCTCAGGACGCAGAAGCAAATTTTTTTCATGTGCTAGGCAGACACGGTGTTTGAGGAAGTCATATGCATTCTAGTTTTTGCAGACTAATTTGTGTTCAGGGCTTGTTCTTTTAAAGTAAATGCAACACCCTAAATACATCGTGGTGCATGTGGTTGCGTTAGTGCGCTTTGGCATCTCTTTGAGGTGTAAATTGTTTAAAGAAATAAGCAGTATTCGTCATTGAGCATTACACTTTTATGTCAAAAGCCTTGCCACCACGCTTCTTGCATGTGAAAGGTGGTCAGTCGTAGAACTTGCCTGATGATGTTCACATTATTTTTGAGGACCTTGTGGACCTTGTATTTTTGAGGACCACGCACTAGGACACCATACCACCCTTCGGCTTAGCGTTCGGAAGGGGGGGGGGGGGGGGGGGGACATAAGGTAACCGTTCGCCGCGGGCGCAAGGCGCTGTTGGCGGAGTCCGAACGAGCCCCGCAGGGGGCTGACGGACGGAAAAGAAAAGCGTGCTTACCCAGTGTCGTCCCAGGAAAGGTCTCTCCCGCTTCCGACGCAGCGCGCAAAAACCTCTCGGGAGACTCCGCGCGCGGCGGCACAGTCAACATCCGCTACCGGGTGAGGGGGTTAAGCGTCACTCTGCTCTCCCAGCGCTGCAGACAGCAAAGGAGGGGAGACACGTCTGGACATGAGAACGGCAGAAAAGGCGCCAAAGCCCGCGCTAAGGCAGCGGGCTAGCCTCAATTCCCACAACCTCCTCATTTGTTTCATTACATAACTTCTAGTTAGTGTGATAGCTAGACAGGCGTACATGCACATAAAATGAATAACGATGCTCTTATTCTTTTTCTTCTGCAATCAAACAGTAAGCAAAAGGGTTTGTGTTCTGAAATAGAAATGGTACAAACTCACATGACACAGAGGCAGCTTTATTTGTTGCAATAATGCATAAAAATGCGTTATTGGGGAAGCGGCCACTGTTTTCACAATAGTTTGCTGCAAAGACGACACACTACTGTATTCTAGTACACCAGATTAAGAGGCAAACAATTTTTTATACGAGAGTGAGATGTCAATGCTTGAAAGTATTTCAGGTGTCAACATCAGACATAGATAGCATCCCTTCAGCGATATAGAGACGTCGAGCTAAATGCAGAACATGTCTTGTATCATCAGTGAGACTTTCTAAAACAGTAGCCGGACGATATAATGCTCAGTACCATGGTGTAATAAAAGTAACTTTGATGTGTGCACTCCGCCTGACGGGGCGTCTACATAATTTTAATCTCCTTTCGCCTCTCGGCCCCCATGTCACAGCGCCCCCCCCCCCCCCCCCACGCAACCGTGGCCTGTGGCATGTACTATAGAAAACGAGCTGCTGGCGTAGCATTTGTAACGGCGTTGCGCACGTCAGAACTCAGCGCTGGAGTAAAATGCTTTTTGTTTTCTAACTCCGTGCAAGCAGTTGTGGCGTTCGCCGCATGTGGCATTTTTGGTCGTGAGAAACGGGGTATGCGCTTACAAGTGCCTAGTTTAAAAATAAAATACTATGAGGTGAAAAATTGACCCCATATCTGCATGCTTGACTGCAAATGTCGTCGAAAGACGATAGTCTTTGTTCTTGAGAGACTGAATAAAACTTTTTTTCGTTTCGTGCGAAACAATGGGTGAATAGAATTCTGGAGGCACTGCGTGACACGAGTGCCATCTGGTGGTAATCTTAAAAAAACTGGAGGAGGGCCTCCCTTATAGCGAGCGTGCAGCTTGCACGCATAATCTTGGAGGCCATATTTTATAGATTTCAAGGTAGGTGGCAGCACCGTATCGTCTTAGCAAAACCTAAAGAAAGTCACCTTTTTGTGCATAGCGTTCCATTGTGACTGCAAAGTGATAAACGCTACACTTTTTAGAATTACTTATATGTGACTTTTTTAGTATTAAAAAAAAAACACACCACAAAACATTGATGTGTTGATATTGTGGCTCAGGTATACACAATAATTGCTTTTCAATCGACAATTGCACAAGTAAACATGCAGAAACCAGAGCAATAGGGCGCTGAGGTTAGGGTGTACTTGAGCTGTTTCGCTTGACAAACAAACAGACAGGCAGACAGATAGACCAATATTTTTGCATTCAAGTACCCCAAGAAAGACTTTTTGTTTTCGTAAAGAAAAAAAATCCCCCCTGCATGTCACTGCACCCCCACGAAACTACAGCCGGCACACATACTAAAGCCAAACATTATCTGGATGCGTTCTCCTTCACGGCGGGCGGAGAGTGTCCACACCTAAATTATTTTTCTTACATCAGGTTAGTGCTCACAAAAAAGAACCTACCTATGGCAAAAAAGAACATTTCATTACATTTCAAAGAGGAATGAAAGTAAAGCTTCGCAATTTGTTCTCATGCATGGAAAAAAGCACCTGATTTTGAGAAAGACACTGTTGTCAGCCGGCACTAAAGCCCTTCCTGCCCAGCAGCTGCACCAGCTGTTGGGCAGTGTGGCCGTGGTGAGTGCTCAAAGGTTTGAAGTGCAATAATGGTATGGAGACCACAACAAGGGGATTTCCTTTTAAACAAAGCATTTCCTTGAAACAGAACGAGCAGTATAAGGTTTCTGGAACGCAATTTCAACGATTTACACGGACTTAGTGTCCTTTTAAAGGGGCCCTGCATCACTTCTTAAGTCATCGTCTAATGGCTTCATTAAAGGAGCTTACTGCCTCACATGCTGAAAGCTACACAGGGAATGGGACAACAAGAAAGCCACGAAGATGCTCTTCTTGGCAGCGTGCATCATCACCTCGAACACTTTCCTTTTAATTCTTTCTTGAATTGTGTGGTTTACTTTCAGTGTAAAAGAACTTGTTGTTGGGCTAGTTGGTACAACATTTCTAAAAGTTGATTCGAGCGCGGACACACGACACGATCACTCACACACGCACACAGCCAGGCATCAAACACACACAGCGCTCACACACGCAATCAGTGTGATTGTGAATGCAGGCGGTCAGCCGCCACCACAACTATGCAGCTCACGATGCTCAAACCAGACAACAACCGTGCATGTTCACTATATCACATCATTTGTAGGGAGAAGAGGGTACGATTTCTAGCTGACTAAGAAACAACTAAAAATTGCAGGCCTTGTTCAACTTGCATGTCCTAGGGAAGTACTTTGGGGTCTTATTTTTCCTCGTGTTTCAGACGGCAGCAGCCAAACTGCAGAAGGAGTTCAAAAACTATGTGCTGTGCATCAAGAGCTTGCAGCTAGCCAGCAAGGCACTCATGGACACACTGAGTGAGATCTACGAGCAGGAGTGGGTCGGACACGAACAGATCCCCGTCAAGGCACAGGTACTGGGATGCTTGCTACGTTGTCGAACACCACTGAAAACATGTTGCGCAAACACAAAGCAAATTCTTCTTTGCTCAATATAAACATAGTTATTATGAGCAGCAAAATTTGACCTGAGATAAAATGATTATGAGCTGTGAGGTAAAGAGAAGTGCATGTAGCCCTCTCAAAGGTAGGAACTCCATTCTTTTTATTACAAATTTTTGCAAATAAAAGCAGCTCTGAGTGCGGTACATAGTAGAACATGTCCGCAACGCCTTCATAACATAGCTCAAGTTCCGAACAATGACCCTACTCAGGTAGTTCCACGAGAGCTTCTTGCTCATCATCAATGCACGCTGCAGAAATAAGGCGCCCCCCACAAATTTCTTGATGGGGAAGATGCCATGCAGCTCTGTAAACTTCAAACAGGAGTTCATCCAAATCTATCGTGATTGAACAAAATTTATCAAACATTGTAAGGGCGGTATTGTCGGCGATGTTGCGACTCGCCGCCGACCCTCCACTATATATTGTGGAGTTGCAATTAAAGGCCATTTAAATTTTATGGCTTACAGCGTATGTATAGAATAGAAGCCCTTTGGAGCAGTCGGAGGCACTCCTAGCTAGCTCAGACCCGCCGCGGTGGTCTAGTAGCTCAGGTACTCGGCTGCTGACCCGCAGGTCGCGGGATCGAATCTCGGCTGTGGCAGCTGCATTTGCGATGGAAGCGAAAATGCTGTAGACCTGTGTGCTCAGATTTAGGTGCACGTTAAACAACCCCAGGTGGTTGAAATTTCTAGAGTCCTCCACGACGGCGTTCTCATAATCTTAGGGTGGTTTTTAAGACGTTACTCAACATACCAATAAATTCTCGCCATCTCATACTGAACTAGCACTCCAGGACCGACTGGTGGCACGCATCCTATAAAGTGAATCATTAAAGTGAATCAATAAAGGGAATCATTCTGATAGGAGGCGCAGTGGGGGCCACTCCCATGGGGTCGCAGATCGACATACCATTCGATCCCTCTGCACCGCCAACAAAGCCGTGGAGAAGGAGATGAAAGGGGAGCCGGTTTCGAGTTTGCCCAGTAGAACAAAAATTGAAGTTCGTTGGTAATGAGAGCAACACGCTTCGTCTCTCCCAACAGCCCTCCCTCAGTTTTTATTTTTGGCCTCCTCCTGAAAAATGTTGCACCTTCATATATGCAGTTCGTTCTGTGATTCTTTAAAATACATTGAAATGAAGTTGAGGATAAAACTAGGCTTGTGCGAATAGTGAGCTTTAGTTTTGAAGCGAATGGTGATTTTGGTCTACTATTTTTGAATCGAATTAGAATAGTATATATGACATGTAAAAAAAAAAATTGGAATATTTATTATGGCCTAACTAACCTGCACATTATTTTTTAAATTGAAATAGGGTCTTTATGCGAAAGCCTTTCTTTTATTGTTCAAAGGAAGTTGAAAGAACAGTGAGTAGTATCAGGATTTGTTTTTCAGCAGGATGCGAGTCATGGCCCTTAAAGTACGTTACATTTTAAATTTTATTCAACTTACAGCATATAGTCTGGCATAACTAGCTTTTAAGCTTAATAAAATTAATCGATTTGAGAGTAATAATTTAAATTCAAATCGAAGCCAGTTGAAACGCCCTAGTATTTGTTAGAATATTTTAAAGCATTTGAATATTTGCACAAGCCTACATAAGACAGAGACAGAGTTAGGTCGCTGAGCGAGTCTTGATGGGCCTCTCACCAGGTTTGACAATTTTGAGCTGACAAGGGCGTTATGTAAATGGGGTGTTCACGATAACATCTGCCAAAATTTGCAACACCACGCACCACGGAAATGAGTCAAATTTCAAGATGAACGCTGATCCCTCTTTCTTTTGCCGGTGCGCGCCCATAGAATGATGGCATGACGTGCACGCATAAATGGCCTTTTGTACACGGCAGTACCGTGAGGCAGTTCCTCTACACAGACAACCGTGCTCTGACGTTGCCAACAGTGGCACGTGACATGGCGAAAATTATTTACCACGACATGCGTAGTTTATGTGCTTTGTTGCTTGAAAAGATCAATAAAACTTAAGATAAATAATGAGATGCGATAAGGGAATGAATGCGTCTTTTTTTCAAAATTTTCTCGTGATTACACTGAAATGTGGGGCTAATGTGCGGGAATTTCGCGTCTGTTCGTGTCCTCGTGGTCAGCGCACCGAGCTGACGACAGCCATGGAAGCGAAAGTAACGCTCCTACACGTTGGCACACTCATTGTTCTCATCTATTCTACCGTGTTAAGCCAGCATTTCCAAACCATCCTTCAGAAACAGTCAGTTGGCCATAAAATAACGCTGGTCAACATGCTGGTCAACAAAACAACGCCGCTCGTGTGCTCGGGGGTTGGGCCATGTTGAGGCACGTCGTGCGCACGTGACAGATGCTGGTGAGGGTAGGAAAGAGATTTGGCTTGCAAAGGCTGCGCGAGAGAACAGCAAGGGTTTCGAGCTCGCCTCGTCTCATCCTCATTTTGTACCGCTTCAAAAAGACAGTTTTCTCAGCTCGTAATAAACTGATTGAAAAAATTCTTGTGGCATAATGCTCCTTATTGGGCACACAACAACTTCCACTATCTAACAAAAATTTGTTATGGGGCCTGGTGAGTGGCCCTTTGAAGATAGATGGTGAGAAAACAGTATTAGAAGGAGGGTTTTTTTTTTTTTTTTTTTTCAGATGTCATTTGTTTTTATGGACATGCAAAAAAAGGCTTCACATTTTTATTTTTCAGTGCGTACTGCTGTTTAGTTGTGCTGCAATTTTGCCAAGTATCTAACATGTTTTCCTGTCTACCGCTTTATGTCATTAGACTTTGGAACTTCTTTGGGACGACTACCACAGGAAGATGAATGACCAGGTGATGATTCCATTGAACAGCTACATCACTCAGTTTGTAGACGTTAGGGTGAGTACTCTCTTTTAGCCATTCCGGCATGCCTTAGGCTATTGTGAGAGGAGCCTTTCTTGGCAGTTTGAGAAGAAAAAAAAGTTGGTACTACAGTTAAACCTCTTTATGAAAGGCATGCTCCGGGCAGCGATTCTTGCCTTTTACATGAGATATCTCTTATAAGCAGGAGACCTTGTATGCATTTTCCTATCAACCTGTATTTTTTTGTAGGCATCCCGGCGTCTCTTATAACCATTTGTCTGTTATATCAATCTAGGGGTTCGACTGTATTATCATTATTATCCTAATATTGTAGGTAATATTACGGTTTCCATATTTTCTACTTCATAAGTCGCATTTTTTAAATAAATGAACAAAAGAGTGAACATTTCTTAAAGCTCTTTTTTCTTTGTTTATTGATACACAAGGTTTTTTACAACTAACAGGCAATTAAGCCATGTGATGTAGGGGAATGTTATTTGGGGGTGAGTGTGACACAAATGAGAGATTAAAGTAGACACCAGCAGGAACCTAATCTGCCACCCTTAAACAATGTGTGTGATACTCTACCAACTGAGCAACAGGGATCCCCCTGTCCACTTTTTGGGGTGTACATGTGCATACAAATGTGAGAATGCTGGTTAGCACCGCTCAGAAGCATGACTTGGACAGTTTTTTTTTTTTTTTGTGCCTGTTGGCATCACGTAGCACATGACGTTTTTACGAGCTGTCAGCAGACCAATAATCTTTTGCATACTGCCTGAAGGCATCAAGTCTGCCAGAACAAGACTCTCGCTATGAATGAAGGAAAGAAGAAGAACTTGCAAGGCTCTTCATTAGACACCAGATTAATTTCAACCAACAGAGCCAGCCAAGGCATAGCAGATGGTACGTGCAGTAATTATGATAGAAGTGAGGAGGAGTGTGTGTGTGTGGGGGGGGGGGGCTCAGCAGAGAATCATCGGATATCTGAAAGTTCTCTTGATCAAATATGTCGAAGTGCACTTTTCGCAAAGGATTACATGAAGCTGCATGAATGCTTTCCTAAAAACGTACTCTTATCACTATGCTACGTTGACAGGGGCTTTGATGGGCTGACGACAAGGAAGCGATCCCAGCTTTGTGAAGCCTCAGTATTGGCTTCTCAAATGTCGTTAAATTGGAAATTTTTTCAAACCAAGAAAGCAATTTTGAAATCCTTCAAAATTTATAATTGTACTCTACCAACATCCAAAACATGCCACAGTATAGCTTTTGCCAGCAACCCGTGCCTGCACGTCTGAAAAAGTCCATGATGCCAACTCTATGCAAAAATAAAAGGGTACTAAGGTATGTGACTCCTCTCTGATAGTCCTGACTTACCACGTGTGTGACTCTCTTTAAAAAGGCTCTCTTGTAGGTGATATAAAAAAAGAGAACACAGCGAGAGTTGGCATGTCTTGTTAACGACATTCATACTCGTGGCAAGTCAATACTACCTAGAAAGAGCCACACATTCCACTCTACTCTTAGAGTGCAGCTCCGGGAGACAGTCGTGGAAAGCTATAACTGGCTACCAATACGTGACGACGCGGATTGTGAGTACAGCGACGGTGCAAGCTACTGAAATGCAGAAGATGCTGGGAATCATCTGTCATATCTGTCGCATAAACCATTTGATAACCTAAGTAATCACTGGCACCTCAAGTACCATGCAGTACATGAGACCGGTACCCACAGCACGGTCTGCTGCTCTGTCACAGATCTTGGGGGCAAGTGCTATTGGTAATAGATTGAGAGGGCGCTGCAAGGCACAGCAAGCATGGTTAATAACAACCAAGATAGCTAAAAAAAAAAAACTTAGTACTCTTTAAAACTGTGGGGGTGCTGACACCTGTTGTTTGCTCTGCGTGGCGGATGTGTCTCGCCCTAAAGCCGCATTTCGGGTTACAGCTATCGGACGGTAAGTGGTAGTCACTTGGTAGCCACTATCATCATCATCATCATCATGGTATAGCGCCGGCGGTGACAAGCCTTGGTAGCGGCGAGCGAGAAATAAAGTGGTCTTTTCTGCGCATGGCGGTTGCTGCAAACGGTTGTCTCTAGCGTGGGTCCCCGGTGCGTGGCACCGCAGGTGCGCGTCGGGAGCACGTAGCACGTGAACTTATTACGAGCGGGCAGTTGAATAATAGTCCCTCGTATACAACCTAATGACACCAAGTCTGCCAGTACGAGACCCTCGTTAATGAAATAAGGAAAGAAGTGTATACCTAAGGGCTCGTTTTTCCGTGTTTTAACACAATATTTATGAGATCTAACAGACAGTAATGCCAAGGAATGTACAGGGGAAGTTATTAGAACTAATGGAATGTAAATAAGAAGAAAGAAAAGTGGATGAAAAAATAACCAGCCGTGAGCAGGAATCGAACCTACGACCTTCGAATAACGCGTTCGATGCTCTAGCCACTGAGCTACCACAGCGGCCTTCCCTCCATCCACTTTTTTGAGTTTATATGTGAATTTAGAGGTAGGAGTGACAGTCAGCGCCATCTATAAGCCAAGCAACCAGTGTGAAAACACTCTTTTATGCGCATGTTTGGCGTCACGTGGCACGTGAACTTATTATGAGCGGGCAGCTGATTCATAGTCCCTCGTATACAACTAATGACACCAAGTCTGCCAGTATGAGACCCTCGTTTAATGAAATAAGCAAAAGAAGTGTATACCTAAGGGCTCGTTTTTCCGTGTTTTAACACAATATTTATGAGATCTAACAGACAGTAATGCCAAGGAATGTACAGGGGAAGTTATTAAAACCAATGGAATGTAAATAAGAAGAAAGAAAAGTGGATGAAAAAATAACCAGCCGTGAGCAGGAATTGAACCTACGCCGTTTGAATAACGCGTTTGATGCTCTAGCCACTGAGCTACCACAGCGGCCTTCCCTCTATCCACTTTTTTCAGTTTATATGTGAATTTAGAGGTAGGAGTGACAGTCAGCGCCATCTATAAGTCAAGCGACGAGTGTGAAAACACTTTTATGCGCATGTTTGGCGTGACGTAGCACGTGAACTCATTATGAGCGGGCAGCTGATTCATAGTCCCTCGTATACAAGCTAATGACACCAAGTCTGCCAGTACGAGACCCTCGCTTAATGAAATAAGATACCTAAGGGCTCGTTTTTCCGTGTTTTAACACAATATTATGAGATCTAACAGACAGTAATGCCAAGGAATGTACAGGGGAAGTTATTAAAACCAATGGAATGTAAATAAGAAGAAAGAAAAGTGGATGAAAAAATAACCAGCCGTGAGCAGGAATTGAACCTACGCCGTTTGAATAACGCGTTTGATGCTCTAGCCACTGAGCTACCACAGCGGCCTTCCCTCTATCCACTTTTTTCAGTTTATATGTGAATTTAGAGGTAGGAGTGACAGTCAGCGCCATCTATAGTCAAGCGACGAGTGTGAAAACACTTTTATGCGCATGTTTGGCGTGACGTAGCACGTGAACTCATTATGAGCGGGCAGCTGATTCATAGTCCCTCGTATACAAGCTAATGACACCAAGTCTGCCAGTACGAGACCCTCGCTTAATGAAATAAGATACCTAAGGGCTCGTTTTTCCGTGTTTTAACACAATATGTATGAGATCAAACAGACAGTAATGCCAAGGAATGTACAGGGGAAGTTATAAGAACCAATGGAATGTAAATAAGAAGAAAGAAAAGTGGATGAAAAAATAACCAGCCGTGAGCAGGAATCGAACCTCTATATATATATATATATATATATATATATATATATTCGAAGGTCGCAGGTTTAGATCCTGCCCACGGGAAATTATCTGTTCACCCACTTTTCTTTCTTCTAATTCACATTACAATTGGCCTAATAACTTCCCCTACACCTTCCTTGGCATTATTGTCTGTTACATCTCATTGCTATTGGGTAAAACACGAAAAACAAGCTCTTAAGTATACACTTGTTTGCTTTACTCATTAACGAGGGTCTCGTACTGGAAGACTTGGTGCCTTGAGGTTGTATACGGGAGACTATTAGTCAGCTGCCAGTTAGTAATAAGTTCAAGAGCCACGTGACGCCAAACAGGCTCATAAAGCGTGTGCCACACTTCGCCGCCATGGCTACTAGTGGCGCTGAATGACACTCCAACGTTAAAATTGACATAGATATCCAATAAAGTGGCTGGGGGGATGGATGTCGCGACAGCTCAAGTGGTAGAGCATCGAACGCGTTATTCGAAGGTCGCAGGCTCGGATCCTACCCATGGCAAGCTATCTTTTCACTTGCTTTTCTTCTTCTCATTTACATTAACGATGGCTTAATAACTTCCCCTATACCTTCCTTGGCATTATTTTTCTATTGGATCTCGTTAATATTGTGTAAAACAAGAAAAACGAGCCCTTAAGTATACACTTGTTTCACTTATATAAATATATATATCTATATATATATTAGTAACGCGGGCTTGAAAGAGCGAGGAAGAAGAAGAGATCGGGACGCGCTCGAGCGATGGTGATTCGGCAGTGACGGTAGAGCGCTGACATTTTCATTGTAAATAAACCCATCACATCCGTACCAGCTTTGGTGGAGCGGTGCTGGGTAACTTGCCATCCTGGACCCCGCAGCAGAAGTTCTTCGAAGAAGCAGAACGCTTAGCTGGCCTACTTCCGGACAACATCAGCATGAACGACGACACAGCAATCCCATCGACGTCCTACGCTGCTGCATCCAATAGTGCCACCGACACGGCACAAGGTGGCCGTCGACCTCGACAACCAGACTACTGGGCACCTGAGCCACGAATTTTCTCAGGTAAACTGAACGAAGACGTGGACGCTTGGCTAAAACACTTCGAGAGAGTGAGCCGCTACTACGAATGGGGCGCTACCGGCGAAGCTCGTGAACGTAGTATTCTTCCTTGCCGGGACAGCCTTGCTTTGGTTTGAGAACCATGAACATGTCCTACCCACTTGGGATATATTTGTTAAGGAACTGAAGGCCTGCTGGGGACACGA